AATAACCAAATAATCTACGTTTCATTCTCATCGCTAGCGTCCAATAATAAACAAATAATCTACGTTTCATTCATATCGCTAGAGTTCAATGATAAACAAATAATCTACGTTTCATTCTCATCGCTAGCGTCCAATAATAAACAAATAATCTACGTTTCATTCATATCGCTAGAGTTCAATGATAAACAAATAATCTACGTTTCATTCTCATCGCTAGCGTCCAATAATAAACAAATAATCTACGTTTCATTCATATCGCTAGAGTTCAATGATAAACAAATAATCTACGTTTCATTCACATCGCTAACGTTCAATGATAAACAAATAATCTACGTTTCATTCACATCGCTAACGTTCAATGATAAACAAATAATCTACGTTTCATTCTCATCGCTAGCGTCCAATAATAAACAAATAATCTACGCTTCATTCTCATCGCTGCATTTCAATAATAATTAAATAATAAAAACAAATAACATAAAAACAAACAAACAGTACAATAATAAACAAATAATTGAACGTTTCATTTATTTCGCTAGAGTTCAGTAACAAATATAAAGCTTTCAGGTTATGAAGATATTGGTGATGAAGATGTTTTCAAGACTTTACACTTTCCAGCAGGATATATGTAAATTAATGTTCGTGCACTATTTGTGTTAAAAATATCTATATTTCACTCAACCCGTCTATGGCTATCTGCATATGTAGTATATTAAATTTTGCTTCCAAATAATCAGGTTACAAAAGCGATGTAACAGGTGCTATGCTCTTTGTTACCCGTTGGAATAGTAGTAAGTTTACGGACTTACAACGCTAAAATCTGGGGTTCGATTCCCAGCGGGGGACGCAGTAGATAGTAGTAAGTTTACGGACTTTTACAACGCTTAAATCCGAGGTTCGACCCCCAGCGATGGACGCAGTAGATAGTAGTAACTTTACGGACTTTACAACGCTTAAATCCGGGGTTCTATTACCCCGCGGTGGACACAGTACAGGTAGTCCAATGTGACTTTGCTCTCAAATAAACAAACAAAAGCTGTACTCTTTTGCATCTATTGTTTTATGTTTATGGATGTTTTTTGTGACAAGATTGAAGACTTCTTGAAGGATATATTAGTTCTTAACATGTATGTACAGAATATTAGAAAGGAAAACTATCCCAAAGAGTAAAACTGTCTTGGTTTTTCTGCTCATAGTATTTTTATACAGACAAATAACGTGATAGATGCCGGATGACCGTAATGACCTGATGCACTTTACAGAAATATCATTGAGGTAATGTTTTATGACTAAGGGGTGTTCTACTAATGTAATTTTGTTTG